AGATTCTTTCACCATCATAATATGCTCATATGTATTACTTTAATGATTCAGTAAGTTTTTTAATTTAAATTTTAGAATGAATAGCGTGAATAATTCATAAAAAAGTAAAAAGTGGTGTCAAAGATCACTTTTTTTTAGTGATTTCAAATTAAAAATAAAGCATCGGATCGCACCGTTTCGCACACCGAATTTTGTCGAAATATAATTCTTTAGCATTTCCGTCTTTTACTTAACTTAGATTTATTATTTGTTCGTGTATTTTATTAAAAGCGTGATATATTTTTGTTTTGTGTACCTGGCAACTTCGATGCATAATTAGTTTAGGTTTCACGGGTCTTCACACCTGTCTTTGTGTGAAATAAAAAAATTTGAAAAATGGAAATCTTTAAGCTAGAATAAAGAATGTTACACTTAAGTGATGGGTTTGACTTACTCGAAATAGAATGGAAAGAAAAGTTGCTAACGTAAACAAATGCCACGCTTCAGCAATCAATCAGGATCGGGATACCCGCACTACAACATTTGCAGTTATTCCATTAAGTACGTATGCTTTTGAAATTGAAATGAGATATTATTAGGAATTGAAATAAAATATTATTATCGTTTTGAAGCAACAAAAAAGACCTTCCTCGTTTTTTTATCTGAGTTTATTTTATTTAACTGCTTATTTATTACACTTTAATGATTTACTCTAACGTTTTCACCAATCATTAATAAATTATTTTACCTTTATTTAAAAGAACATTAGTTACTGTGGAAAAAAAAGACAAAAAATTCTCAAAATGACTCCACACATCCTGAATATACGATGTTATCGGAATGATCGTATCAGAAAAATGACTCTAAAAAATGACTGAATCACGTGTTATGAGTGTATTCAAAAAAGAGAAAGAAATGTTAATTTTTGTCAACAATTAAAGTATTTTCCCCTTTATTAATTTTATGTAATTACGCTTAATTCAAGAGTGCGAACTGCAAAACTTTTAATAAATTGGTAGCAAATCTAATAGTAAAAATTGTAGAATTAGGTGAATTACGCCCACTCGTTATAAGTGTCACCACGAGTTAACCCTGTCGAAGGCCGTGGGAAGTATACTTCCCATCACTTTTTTACCACTTTTAATTTAGGTTTCCATTTATTAATAACTTTCTTGGCGAGGGTTTGAATAAAATTGGAAACAATTTGTTAGTTTAAGAAAAAGTATAAAATATATAAAATGCATAATTCCTTTTGAGGTTTGTAGCATTTATAAAATTTATTTTATGAATAAAGAAAAATAAAAGTCAATACATTCCTAATAGGTTATGTTAAGTATATTTACCACCAAGAAAATGACATTTTTCTAAACTAAATGAGTTTTTTTTTCTTATATCAATTACTATTCTTAAAACAACTTCAATTCCGAAAAATACTTTATAAATTCCTTTACAGAAAATAGATAGCCCATTAAAGGGTTAACTATAATAAAGTCAGGGATGCCAACTGCTCCGCCTGCTGGAAAATTTTTATAAAGATATCTCTAAAATCTATTTGATAGGCTATAATAATGCAATTTTTTTTAGATTTTTATGCAGATGCATTTTCGCAACCAATAATTTGATGATATAATTTCAGGATGCATGGATTCCTATTTGCCAAAACGATATGTATTTGTTTTTCTTACACTGATGGGCTCAATCATTGTCTATATAATACGAGCCGCGGTCAGCATATCGATAGTGGCAATGGTCAATCACGCAGACGAGATATTTAAAAACAATACTGTAAATGAATGTCCAGTGAATTCGTCACACATGATTCGCAATGAATACAAAGTAAGTTTGAAGAATCTTGATATTTTTTATGAATGTTTTTGGAAATCATATTGGCAAAAACAAGTGGTCCAAAATAAATTTGTAAAAATATTTTTTAGTAATTATAACCGTCGAAGTAATTTTTTTTATCCAGGTCATCGAGCTGGTTACTTATGATCTAGGTCATTTTTGTAATCATTTAACCCCTGTTTCTTTTTGTAAAATTCTACCAGGATTATTGAAAAAAATAATTGCGTATTTAAACACAGCCTTTCATTTAGATTGGCATAAATTTTCATCATCCACGGAGCCAAGTAGTTGCAATTGAATACAGCTATTAGTGTGCGCGTCTAATAGTTTTCATAGCTCCAACAAAAGGTCACGTGAATTACATTCTATTTCGTATGTCGCGTTTTTTATTTTCTTCTGTAAATATATCAATACAATTTTTGCAGTTATGCTTCGGTACTCTCTTAACCCTTTCTCACCGGACGGGACGTGTGCTGTCCCAGTCCATGGGTGAAAGCCCTTATATAGCAAGACGGAAAAGAGAAAAACCTGGTACGTAAAACATTTCATTCCAGCATTTTTTTACAAAAAAAAGGAAATATTTGTAACTATCAAGATTTCTTTTATAATTCTGGCATATATATAAAACTGCTTCTTTACCAAGATAAAGTAGATATTGTTGAAAAATTTTAAAAAAGAATAAGTAAACTCCCCCCCAAAACTAGCTATAACTGAAATGGTTTTACTACCAGCCTTTCCTCTTTTCTGTCTCGCTTTCACCCCTGCTGATTTTTCGCCGTATTGAAAGGGTTAAATTTATCTTCAAAAACCTTGTACAAAAAGTATGGTGCCACTAACCCCGAATTCAGAAATAGAACGAGCTTAACCCCTTGGGGACGGATGATTCGTAAAAGCATTCGTGTAAAATCAGAATCAGGATGTAAATAAACAAAAAACGGTAGCTTAGATGTTGGCGTTGCTATTTTGATAGACTTACTTTTACTTTAATTATTGTTAGTTTAATCATATATATATATAATCAATGTTAGTTCTAAGTATAACTAAATAATTTTATTTTGAACTAAAGTAATGGTGAATTAAATAAATCAAACAATTATAACCCCGCCCACAAATAAACTGCTAAAGAACTACTTTGATTACCAGTTTTATCTTTTTACCCTGATTGATACGGTTTTATGATGGCACGTATTTGTGACAATCGGCGCTAAAGGGTTAAGGGAGTTGAAATCATTTAGATGCCTTCAACGTTAAAGTTAAAGAAAGTTGTTGATTTCGAAAGTTGTGTGCGATATATGTAAAGCTATGTTCGGTGCGAAAATTATAAACGAATCATCCTGAATAACTTTTAATCTAACGATCGGATCTTCACCAAAGAAGAAAGGAGTAGTCTAAGGGAGAAAGAAGAAAGGAGGAGGTTCTGATCAAACTATTAGGGTCGTATTTCCCAGATTGTGCCTATCCTCTGTATTTTGGGGTCAGATATCCAAATGCGTCGAAAAAAAGTATGTTCATCCACAAAAAGAACTTTTTGTGGATGAACGCTCTGATTTTGTAGCTTATAAAAATCGTCGGCACGAATTAATTAGCATATTTCAGGTAACCTCCTCCAACTATTAAGATTAAGCTCTAAAACGTGAAGATCCGATCATTTAATCAATCAATGGTTATTTAGGATGTTCCGTTCTTTTTGCGCTATACAAAAGTATATTACGGCTGGAAGAAGATGCAGCAACACATATTAAAGAATGATTTTATATAATATTTTCAGTTCTTATTAAATCACTCTTGGAAATTATTATCCACCCGTTAGTTAGTATGCTATTAGTAAATAATTCTTATTCATTTCGCTAGAAAGAGAATATTTTAGTAAATACGACTCGACTAACACTGAGTAAACCTACGTAAGAAAGTGTTTGTGCGAACTTTCACTGAATGGATGGGAAATTAAACCGTCATAGTAAACCTCGACAATAACCCAAACTTAAGAATGTCAAAAACCCTAAAATTTAAAGTTTCTTACATATGCCTGAGACATCTTTTTTTTAATGTAAATTTTGTANAATTTTACTGGGCATATGTAAAATTTACGTAAAACTGAAACGATGAATTATAACAAAAAATGGTTATCCCACGTAAGTAAAATTTACTTAAAATTTTACGTAAACAAATTCGCTTCTTTTGCTAATATTTTACAAACCATTCTTTATTAGGTAAGATTGAGTTCGTTATTTTTACATATTTACGTCACCAACGTCAAAATTTACGTAAGTTGAAATTTTGAATTATACCAAAAAATGGTTTTACAAAAAACGGAAAATCTACATAAAATTTTGTGTTAAATATTACGTTATTTTTATATATTATTTACGTCAACTGTTTATCAAAATGTACGTAAATTGAAACGTCAAAATCAAACGTAACGTCCAACGTAAAATCAAATAAAGTACTAGACTAGACTCCGTTCCAGACCTGCGAATACAATTGTCTGACATGAAACCCAATTTTGAAATTAACATTGATACAACGAATAAATTTCATTCTCCATTCAAAATAATTTATAAAACTTAAAAACATTTTATAATTGTCGTTGTCGATCCAATTCTGAGTTTACAACTATCAACATTCAACTCTGTAGCCTTGTAAGTTTTAACCCGATCCAGAGGACAAGGAACTTCTGGATCAAGTATTGGGACAAACTAGCCTTCCTTTAGGACTTTTTGAAAGAACTAACTCGCATTTTAGTTACATGGAGAGGAAAACCTCGAAAACATATCATGGGTTATCCTGACTACAAGACTCCAGCCATTGCTAGGATTCGAACCCGGTCACCTCATTTAGAGGCGAACGCTCTATCCCCTGAGTCACCGCGGTTCTATCTTAGAGCCATTACACATTTTAAAAATAACTAATGGTCTCTCGTTATTAACATGCTCACATTGCGAATGAAATGTGCTCATTGCGCCAGAGGTTCCGCCACGAGAAAATCATTCCTTTCGTGTTCCATCTCCAAACAAAAATAGACCAAACCACTTTTGAATAACACAAATGAATAATTTTCATTGAGTCCTTGAAGAAGTGCTTAATCATATTTGATTCAAATGATCGATTATAATCATTGAATGAAAACAGCGTAATTCAAAAGTTGTTTTTCTCTCCGCCTAACAAACAAATACGAAATGATTGAAGAAACAACGAGTTTACCTGGGGTTTTTAAACTACGAGGTAAAGAACTTCATTTATTTCTTTTTAAATATAATAATGAATCAAAATTTAAAAAAAAAATATTTAATTTTTTATTCTCTTTATTTATTTATTCATTAGTAACTGATGTTTATAAGAAGCTTATAATCGGATATAAAACTCCATACATTTAAATTCTTAAAAAACTTTTACATAAACCTACAGTTGAGGTTTCTCTATTAATTAATTTATTTGAATATGTTTCAAGCACAGTTCATATAAAAAAAATTTTGTAATTATGGTTTATATAAATGTTTGTATAGATGGGGTGGTGGTGTTGTTTGTATAGATGTTATTTTGTATAGATGTAAATACAAAATCGCAATTGAAAAAAATTCTACACAGACTTTATATAGTTTTATAGCTTGTGCAAGAGTTAAAATGTAAATTATCAACATTGTTAATTTATTAATTGTGTATGCAATGTTAATTTACAAAAAGTATTTCCTTATTTCATTTTTTTTTTATTTATATACTTACTATTGAATTGAGTATATAAGTGATACTATTGAGTTTACAACTGTAAGGCTCTAAACCGAAAATAATAAATCATTTTTAATTAACTAATTCATAGCTGGCAAATCTTCAATATTCTGCGGGTGAATTAGTACTGATGATTAAAGTGAGAGTAAAGCTTAAGCTCTTATGTTACATTTTTGTATTTATTAATTAAATAGGTAATAATTGAAAAATTAAAGATGTATAAATGTGAAAAATCAAAAATTTGGAAAATTAAGCACATACATAAGTGCATGATAATTGTGTGATGTGTTTAAGTTCTGAAAATATAAAAATAATAATTTTACTTCCAATTGATTACACTACGCAGCTAATTTATTGTTACATTTGTACACGTTTTGTTCTGTAAGCTATAAAAAAAAATTTCGAAATGATATTTTTAGTTTAATTTACTTTTTACTTTAAAAATATAAGTTTATAAAGAACGTATAGGTCCTTATACGTGCATATAGACGTGTTTGCTCTTTTAAAAATAACACCTAAAGAAAAAATATATAATCTTAGAAACTGAAGATGAGAAATAGAAACTGAAATGTATTATCGACTTCCTTAAGGCACTCTCTACGTAGCAGAGAAGTGGGGACACTCACTCCAGGGAATTTAAAAAAAAAATCCAATTTGGTATATAGAATTGAATTGTTCGAAAATTGTAGCTTGTCAGGAGATACCGATTGTAGGTTTGTAATCAGAGAAGAGAAAATATCTACGAACCATTACAATAAATAAATAAATAAATAAATAAGTAAATAAGTAAATAAGTAAATAAGTAAATAAATAAATAAATAAATGAATGAATAAAATTAAATGTCAGGAGATACCGATTGTAGGTTTGTAATCAGAGAAGAGAAAATATCTACGAACCATTACAATAAATAAATAAATAAGTAAATAAATAAATAAATAAATAAATAAAATTAAATAAATAAAACAAAAATAAAATTCTGTGCTTCCAGTGATAATAACTCTTTTTATCAGGCATCATTCACCAAAATGACCTTTTATTTTCTTTTGAAAAGTATAAACTTTTAAGGGAAAAAATGAGATGAATGTAAGGCTGTTACGAGGATTGATGGACGGAGTGAGCAGGGGGGGGGGAGCGAAACTTCTTAGTATTATAAAAATCGTGAAAAAAAATGACTTTGATGAAAATTAAAATATGTTTCAATTTATAAATTTTGATGGCAAATATTATTTATGGACTATCTTGCTATAGCTCACATCTTCATGTCTTTGTCAACATGCAGTTAAGAAGGGGGAGGGGAGATCTGGGGTGATTGGGTACTTGAACTTCAAAAAGAAGAACATCACGGATACCCACACACGTGGAACCTATTATTTCAGCACAAACGATCTTTTATGAGCAAAATGACGTGTTAAAGTTTCAGCACAAATTATCTCCACACAAATCACACTATTAATGAAATACATTCATAGTTAACAATATTTAAATGTCATTTTCTAATTTTAATTTTTAATAAAGATTCTTTCACCATCATAATATGCTCATATGTATTACTTTAATGATTCAGTAAGTTTTTTAATTTAAATTTTAGAATGAATAGCGTGAATAATTCATAAAAAAGTAAAAAGTGGTGTCAAAGATCACTTTTTTTTAGTGATTTCAAATTAAAAATAAAGCATCGGATCGCACCGTTTCGCACACCGAATTTTGTCGAAATATAATTCTTTCACGTCTACGTCTTTTACTTAACTTTGATTTATTATTTGTTCGTGTATTTTATTAAAAGCGTGATATATTTTTGTTTTGTGCACCTGGCAACTTCGATGCATAATTAGTTTAGGTTTTACGGGTCTTCACACCTGTCTTTGTGTGAAATAAAAAAATTGGAGAATTGGAAATCTTTAAGCTGGAATAAAAGAATGTTACACTTTAGTGATGGGTTTGACTTACTCGAAATAGAATGGAAAGAAAAGTTGTTAACGTAAACAAATGCCACGCTTCAGCAATCAATCAGGATCGGGATACCCACACTACATCATTTGCTGTTATTCCATTCCGTACGTATGTTTTTCAAATTGTAATGAGATATTATTTGGAATTGAAATAAAATATTATCATCGTTTTGAAGCAACAAAAAAAGAACATCCTCGCTTCTTTATCTGAGTTTATTTTATTTAATTGTTTATTTATTACACTTTAATGATTTACTCTAACGTTTTCACCAATCATTAATAAATTATTTTACCTTTATTTAAAAGAACATTAGTTAAAGTGAAAAAAAAAGACAAAAAACTCTCAAAATGACTCCACACATCCTGAATATGCGATGTTATCGGAATGATCGTATCAGAAAAATGACTCTAAAAAATGACTGAATCACGTGTTATGAGTGTATTCAAAAAAGAGAAAGAAATGTTAATTTTTGTCAACAATTAAAGTATTTTCCCCTTTATTAATTTTATTCGTTATTACGCTTAATTCAAGAGTGCGAACTGCAAAACTTTTAATAAATTAGTAGCAAATTTAATAGTAAAAAATTGTAGAATTATGTGAATTACGCCCACTCGTTATAAGTGTCACCACGAGTTAACCCTGTCGAAGGCCGTGGGAAGTATACTTCCCACCGCTTTTTTACCACTTTTAATTTAGGTTTCCATTTGTTAATAACTTTCTTGGAGTGCGTTTGAATAAAATTGGTAACAATTTGGTAGTTTAAGAAAAAGTATAAAATATATACATACCTGCCAACTTTTACGCATTTGGCGTAAAATTTCATTTTTATATTTAAAGTGGTAGTAAATATATACTATATTTTCTTCTTTAAACTTAATTTTTAAATGATTTTGATCACCACTATTCTCAAAAAAATTCAGCATATATAATAATATGCGTTACTATCATGGTTGTCAGCTGATGTTCTTTCAAATACAACGTATTTTTTTGCTTGCAATTGAAATTTTTATTCTATTTTACTACCACTGGGAAAAATCATAATGGAAGGGATTGAAAGTTGGCAAGTATGTATATAAAATGCATAATTCCTTTTGAGGTTTGTAGCATTTATAAAATTTATTTTATGAATAAAGAAAAATAAAAGTCAATACATTCCTAATAGGTTGTGTTAAATATATTTACCACCAAGAAAATGGCATTTTTCTAAACTAAATGAGTTTTTTTTTCTTATATCAATTACTATTCTTAAAACAACTTCAATTCCAAAAAATACTTTACTGAAAATAGATATCCCATTAAAGGGTTAACTATAATAAAGTCAGGGATGCCAACTGCTCCGCCTACTGGAAAATTTTTATAAATATCTCTAAAATCTATTTGATAGGCTATAATAATGCAATTTGTTTTAGATTTTTATGCAGATGCATTTTCGCAACCAATAATTTGATGTTATAATTTCAGGATGCATGGATTTCTATTTGCCAAAACGATATGTATTTGTTTTTCTTACACTGATGGGCTCAATCATTGTCTATATAATACGAGCCGCGGTCAGCATATCGATCGTGGCAATGGTCAATCATGCAGACGAGATATTTAAAAACAATACTGTAAATGAATGTCCAGTGAATTCGTCACAAATGATTCGCAATGAGTACAAAGTAAGTTTGGAGAATCAGCCTTTCACACATTAACACATTTCACAATTAAACACAGCCTTTCATTTAGATTAACATAAATTTTCATTATCCACGGAGCCAAGTAGTTGCAACTGAATACAGCTATTAGTGTGCGCGTCTAATAGTTTTCATAGCTTCAACAAAAGGTCACGTGAATTGCATTCTATTTCGTATGTCGCATTTTTTATTTTCTACTGTAAATATATCAATACAATTTTTGCAGTTATGCTTCGGTACTCTCTTAGCCCTTTCGCACCGGACGGGACGTGTGCTATCCCAGTCCATGGGTGAAAGCCCTTATATAGCAAGACGGAAAAGAGAAAAACCTAGTACGTTAAACATTTCATTCCCAGCATTTTTTTCAAAAAAAATGAAATATCTGTAACTATCAAGATTTCTTATATAATTCTGGCCTATATATAAAACTGCTTCTTTTCCGAGATAAAGCAGNTCCTTTTATTCCAATTACCAGAAAGAACCACCTTAAAGATTAAATACAAGATGAATGGGAAAAAGGCCGCTAACGGCCCCAGGCGCCCAGTTATATTTCGATGATGATGATGAAGATAAAGTAGATATTGTTGAAAAATTTAAAAAAAGAATAGGTAAACTCCTCCCCAAAACTAACTATAACTGAAATGGTTTTACTACCAGCCTTTCCTCTTTTCCGTCTCGCTTTCACCCCTGCTGTTTTTTTGCCGTATTGAAAGGGTTAAATTTATCTTCAAAAACCTTGTACAAAAAGTATGGTGCCACTAACCCCGAATTCAGAAGTAGAACAAGCTTAACCCCTTGTGGGCGGGTGATTCGTAAAAGCATTCGTATAAAATCAGAATCAGGATGTAAATAAATAAAAAACGGTAGCTTAAATGTTGGCGTTGCTATTTTGATAGACTTACTTTGCTTTTACTTTAATAATTGTTAGTTTAATCATATATATATAATCAATGTTAGTTCTAAGTATAACTAAATAATTTTATTTTGAACTAAAGTAATGGTGAATTAAATAAATCAAACAATTATAACCCCGCCCACAAATAAACTGCTAAAGAACTACTTTGATTACCAGTTTTATCTTTTTACCCTGGTTGATACGGTTTTATGATGGCACGTACGTATTTGTGACAATCGGTGCTAAAGGGCTAAGGGAGTTGAAATCATTTAGATGCCTTCAACGTTAAAGTTAAAGAAGTTGAAAGTTGTGTGTGATACATGTAAAGCTATGTTAGGTGCGAAAATTATAAACGGATCACCCTGAATAACTTNGCTTTTACTTTAATTATTGTTAGTTTAATCATATATATATATAATCAATGTTAGTTCTAAGTATAACTAAATAATTTTATTTTGAACTAAAGTAATGGTGAATTAAATAAATCAAACAATTATAACCCCGCCCACAAATAAACTGCTAAAGAACTACTTTGATTACCAGTTTTATCTTTTTACCCTGATTGATACGGTTTTATGATGGCACGTATTTGTGACAATCGGCGCTAAAGGGTTAAGGGAGTTGAAATCATTTAGATGCCTTCAACGTTAAAGTTAAAGAAAGTTGTTGTTGATTTTGAAAGTTGTGTGTGATATATGTAAAGCTATGTTCGGTGCGAAAATTATAAACGGATCACCCTGAATAACTTTTAATCTAACGATCGGATCTTCACCAAAGATGAAAGGAGTAGTCTAATGAAGAAAGTAGGAGGTTCTGATCAAACTATTAGGGTCGTATTTCCCAGATTGTGCCTATCTGTATTTTGTGGTCAGATATCCAAATGCGTCGAAAAAAAGTATGTTCATCCACAAAAAGAACCTTTTGTGGATGAACGTTCTGATTTTGTAACTTATAAAAATCGTCGGCACTAATTAATTAGCATATTTCAGGTAACCTCCTCGAACTATTAAGATTAAGCTCTAAAACGTGAAGATCCGATCATTTAATCAATGGTTATTTAGGATGGTCCGTTCTTTTTGCGCTATACAAAAGTATATTACGGCTTGAAGAAGATGCAGCAACACATATTAAAGAATGATTTTATATAATATTTTCAGTTCTTATTAAATCACTCTTGGTAATTATTATCCACCCGTTAGTTAGTATGCTATTAGTAAATAATTCTTATTCATTTCGCTAGAAAGAGAATATTTTAGTAAATACGACTCGACTAACACTGAGTAAACCTACGTAAGAAAGTGTTTGTGCGAACTTTCACTGAATGGATGGGAAATTAAACCGTCATAGTAAACCTCGACAATAACCCAAACTTAAGAATGTCAAAAACCCTAAAATTTAAAGTTTCTTACATATGCCTGAGACATCTTTTTTTTAATGTAAATTTTGTAGTATGCGCAAAATCGCAAACACATTCAAGACAGTAACACATGGTTTTTTAATTGTTACTCTAATTTGTATGTAGATTTTGGGTCATGAATGTCGAATTGCACAGGAGTGCGATTTTATGAACACTACTAATTTCCATGTACCGAATAACATGTTTCGGTGTACTGTACTCACATTTATTGTAAGTTTCAGAAACTGCATGGAACCTAACTCTCTAGAAATGATACAAAGAAAGATTTGGATCCATGGAATTTGGAAATGTCCTCTTTGGTAAAATTTTGGCATATCACGATATTGTTCCAAACCTTTCACATGTTTCTTAAAATAACTTATTACGGTTAATACAAACTAAAATAATTATTAATTAATAAAATAATTATTAATTAATAATAATCATTAATTCGAAATAATTATTTTTTCGATTATTTGGTAAGGCATAAATGACATTAGTAAATATAATTAATTCCGTATTTATCATAATTACTGATCCTTTTGACTACGCTGACACAAGGTTTGAAATTTTCAGGGTAAACAGTATGAGTGGGATGTCAGACAGCAGTCACATTTTCTTGGTTGTGTTTCTTACGGTAACATTGCAACACAAATCCTTGGAGGTATCTTGGCTGAAAAATTTGGCTTCAAGTTCGTTTATGGTGGCGGTATACTTATGACAGGAATAATTACATTGCTGATTCCTGTATTCTCAGACTTGGGTTTCACCGCAGTTATTGTTATTCGGGTAATCCAAGGCTTAGGCGAGGTAAGAAATATATATTTCTATAATGTAAGTATATGTCTCCCTAAAAAAGAATTAGAGCAGAAATAAATTCACCAAGTTTATGCATAGTTGTTACAATTAGTCATAAATTTATTTCTGATTAATTTATTTATTATGATAATCATAAAATTACTTATGATTAATTTATGCGTAATTGATATAGTTAATCATACATTTATTTATGATTAATTAATACATAACTGATACAATTAATCATAAAGTTATTTATGGGTAATTTATGCATAATTGATACAATTAATCGCTAATTCTTTTATGCATAATTGCTACAATTATTTATATATTTATTAATGATTAATTGATAAAAGCAAAATTAGTTGATACAGGCAGCTAATGAGTAGAAAGAAGGGAAAGGAATGTTGCTTCTGCTCTTGTCGATATTTTTTTGTCATTTGTTCGATCTTCTTTGATCGATATTCTTTTGTCAATGTGTACTTCCAAGTCGTCCTCTAAACAGTTTAAGTTATAGGGACTTTTTAACTCTTAAACAATTAAATTTTCAACAAAACTCTAAAATAATTTCTAAATATAACTAAAAAACAACTCAAATTTCGTTACCACTAGAAAATATATTTTCAGAACGGTGGGATCTGGCATCTCCGCATTTTTGAGCCACCCATGGCAACAAGGCCTGCAATGCATACTCGCTTCGGACAGCAGAGAAATATTTTCGAGTGGTAGTCTCTTACTTAGGATTTTTATTCACCATTTCTTCTTAGTCTAAATAGCAACCCCAATGACTGCTAACCATAAAGATTGCCTACAAAGAATAAATACTTCATGATAGATGGGATAAGGGGCGGTTGTAGTTGTAGTTCATTTACGTCGCACTAGAGCTGCGCAATGAGCCACGGTCTGGGAAACATCCCAGAGAATGATCCGAAGACATGCCTTAACAATTTCGATCCTCTGCAGAGGGGATGGTACCCCCGCTTCGGTAGCCCAACGATCTATACGCGAAGTCGAGCACTTTACGGTAGAACAGTTTAACGAGGACCAACACCGCACACCCTCGGTCCCTACGCAGACTGATCCAAGTGGTCACCCACCCGCACATTGACAGCAGCCAGTGATGCTTGACTTCGGTGATCTGCTGGGAACCGTATCTTAACGATTCACTGCTGGACGGGATAAGGGGCGGCCCAGGCGCCCAGCTCAAATGACAAGACAAGACTACTTCTTAGTAATTCAGAAACTTACGTTGCGAGACCAATTTGTTGTAGTTCAGTCGTGTTGCCCCTATCAAAAAATTTTCAAATTAATTGAAAGTTTGCTAATTTTTG